CCTTGATGAACTGAAACGAACAAGCTATTGACCAGTTTTTTATCACCACTTTCTCCGGAGGAATCCTGCGCGTTAACTTTAAAAGAAAATATCCTATGAAAATAAAAGTACACACTTGGGACCTCTCCAAAGATAAGTTCATTTCAATCTGATACTGTTAATGTGTTAAGCCATCCCTTGTGTTGAGAAATATACCCTCAGGTTGTATCCCTACAGTGGCTCAGAAACTAATTTTATTGACAAATGTCCCAAAAATGCATTTTGTTAGGTAAAAGCCCCCTTCATAGGCAACTATTGCCAACTATTACGTCTCTATTACCTCTAATACCTGTCTATTACCTCTATTACTTTTCTATTACGTCTATTACCTGACTATTACCTCTATTACCAAACTATTACCGGACGGACGACCCGACTATTACCTGAGTGGATACCCCCTCGCACTGCAGGCACGATGTTGCCTACCCACCAGGCACTATGAGAGCTTGCATGGATACCCATGGCCCCACGGAATGGAAAAAAAATTAACTTGGCTGTTTTGAAACAGCGAATGACGGACGTACCTTCTGGTTTATCCCTTTTTGGCCTCCAGGCTCTTCAGTACTTGTTGAATCATCCGGGTTAAGAAAAAAATAAAATCGCAATTGAAGTGTGGCAGTAGTAATGACTTTGTAGGGTATATAGGGATCGATTTTACTTTGCTGTCATTGTTGTCGCTGCTTCTCGGTGTCCGTTTGCGGGGGAGAGGCACAAGAAAGTGGTGCACCCCGTCATGTGTGCCCACACGTGGGTCTGGCTGCACGCCAGCAGTGCACCGCGCTGCTGCTGGTGAAACCGAACCAAACCCTACCCTGCCGTAAATCACTATCACTTGCGGCCCCGGTCGGGCAGCGGGTCAGGAGCGCGAGACAGCGCATGGCCAGCAGAAGTAGTGTGATGTGTCGCTTCCCCGAACGCCTCGCGCGCGCCGCGTTGGGCTCGGAAATAGTGATAATAAAAAAGCGACACCTATTGCCATTCATTTGGCAGGTCGTTCCAGCAGGCAGCAGGCGCGATGACGCAACGACGCCCGGCGGAACTGGAAAAGCGGACTCGGAATCATATATTCCACGTATCGAGAGGCGCGAAGGTCTCCGACAACCAAACCTTCCGATACATTTATTTTTATTTTATGTTAATTTTCTCACATGCCAACTGGATTCCCCGGCGGTGAGTCAAACAAACCCGAAAAAAAAGAATTAGCTAAAATAGCCAATGGATTTGCTAATTATTTGGCTATAGCTAATTATTGGCCAAAAGAAAGGCATAAGTTGTCTAAAAAACGAAGCTGTGAATGCTAATATTTTGATCAAAGGCCAAATTAGTTAATGTATTAGCTATTTTAGCTAATTCTTTTTTTTTTCGTGTACTGACACACTGCTCGTCTTGTCTGAAATAACATTATGCTAATGAGCTCATGACCCCGCGCGGGTCGACCTGTCGCCGGGCGCGCCGGAAGAGACGGAGGCCTTCTGTCTCCAAACGTGGCGCCGCCGCCACCGCCGCCACCGCCGCAGCAGGCGAGCGCTGGCAGTCATCTCAAAGCTTTCAGAGGGGGTGCCAGTCTTCATCACCTCTCGTCAGTCTGCGCTGAACCGTTACAGGTAGCGGTGGGGTCCGCCGGGTGGGGGTGGGGTTG